GCTTTGAATTATTTTAGCAAGGAATAAAAAGTCCTTGCTCCTGATAGATTGCAGAGTTCTCTGCTCTGAAGACAAATCAATATTACAGATCACAAATAAAATAGTCAGAAGGATTGAAAACAGGATTTACAACTGAATAGCTACCACACCTACATGAAAATAATAATTTACATTCCTCACCACACCCTATCAACTACACACAGGCAGCCTGAAACAGGAAAAGTAACAAAAATAATGGGAAAGAGCAGCAAACACTGTCTTGACATTATTTGAACTGATATGAAAACAGGAGTTGAGGGCAGGGAAGTATTTCCTTTTGAAACCAAATGAAATAACACAGAAACCTTCCGAGGGTTTAGAGTTTCAGGCTTTCTTATTGAGGGAAAAAATCCCCAAATCCTCCCAAATCTATGAAAAGCAGGCACTTTCCATAGAGAATGGGTTCATTGAAAAGCAATTTTCTGTTAAAAATCAGTTGTGACAGGGTAGTTTCATCCAGGCTTGGATGTTGGATGCCACAGGAGCATTTGCCAGGAATAAAAATAGGTATTTAGCTCTGAAGGGCTGGGTTGCCAGGTTTAAAGATGACTCCCTGCCTGGGGAAGAGGTTCCTCCGTCTCAGGGATGGCCGGTGACAGATCAGAAGGGATAGAGGTTCACGATTTGTGTGGGAGTCTTGAATAATCTGTTCCTATTTTAATGTGAACATGGGTGGTAACATGGAATTACAGCGTGTGGAGGCGGGCTGGTGTGCGCAGATTAATGAAAAATAATGAGATAATATTGAGCACTTCTATAGTCTCATTACAAGGGCTCAGTTTCTCCGCTGACAGAAATCCCTGGGAAATAGCATACTCTGGGACTCCATCCCTAATCTTTGTACCAGGAATTAAAAGGAAATACAAAGGCTATTTCACAAGTATATTCCTTTGAAAAGAGCTTTCCTTCTCAGTCGAAAATTTTAAGCGACTCTGTACTTACACAGTAATCCTTTCAACTCATATTTCATTGAATCCAGAAGTCATTGCGGCTCCTGAGGTACTCTGCTGCGAAAAACCCAAAACAAACACTTATAATTGCATGCTGGAAGTTATGACAATGTTTATATGATGCACCAAGAAGAGACAAAAATAAGCACTGAAGGGCACAAGGGTAAAGCTGGGTTTATTGAGGACTAACTACATTAGAATCGACTAAAAAGAAAGAAAAAACAACCCAAGCATGTTCAAACTGCAATCCAAGCAAAATTTATTTTTAGTCCCTCGATTATTGTGAGTTTCATAATGGGATTTTGAGGCCCTGCCRTTGTCTCCCATTAACAAGGGCTCTGTTATATATTCTGCAGAGTCGCGGTGGGAAATGATTCATGGCAGGGCTGGGATTTGACATTCGAGCACAGAAATGGAGGAAAACGTACTTTGATTCACCACGTTTCAAAAACAAACCCTCAGAAAAAGCTCCAGTAAGTTCTTGAAAGTACTGCATAAAAATAGAAATATTAGTGCTGTAGAAGCCAAAGCCAGGAACCAAGACTTAACTTTTATTAACTGGGAAAATGACTCAGCAGTCCTAAGGATTATCAAGTCATTTAATTTCTGCCTATGAGCTCTCCCCTCATTGTTTCATACCCTCAGCTGAAGTTGATGAAAAGAACATCACTGTCTCTAGTAAGTTTTGGGACAGAACCTTGAGTCCATGAAACCAGTCGTTTCCGTCCTACAATGGCCCAACGTGATTTCTCTTCCTAAAGGTTCAGACTGTCCCATTAGCTGAATTTTGAGGTTTTTTGAAGCAAAATCAGTAATACAGCAATCCCAAATGAAAGAAATCAGAGGAAATGCTGCTCATTGAACAGAAGGATTTCTTGGAGACAATTTACATCAAACATGACTTAAAGAAAGATTAACTTTTATTCAGATGATATCTTAAGGAATTTCCATTCTCATGTGAATGATGAACACTTTTATTATGGGGAGAGTCTGGTTAATCTTCAACCAAGAATTTACAAGAGATTTGTAAAACAAACAACAAACAATTTCCAAAGCTTCATGAGATCTTCCTTTTACTCTGAAGGATTTGTACTGTGAATGCTACCAGGTTGATAGCTGTGCTAGGAAAGAAAGGACAAGCCAGGCAATGTGGAATGCCCAACAAATCCCTACTGGGAACACCACCTCTGGATATGACAGAGGGAACTCAGCCAAAAACCCACACGGAGGGAAGGGTTCAAAGGAACTGTGTGTGCAGTCCAAGCGTTTCCAGAAAAATCTTAGGCCACTAATTTGTTTCAAAACCTGACAGAGCCATTGGCAGGTGACAGATGCCACCGTTTGACACAGCAGGACCTCTGGGGGACACTTCTCTTGCTGATGCTGAAGCTGATGGAAAGCATTTATTCAGCTCCAATGAAAACCAAAAGCAGCTCCGTGCCCAACTCCCCCATCTCATAACCCGCACTCAGAAACCCAACTCATCACACACTCAATCTCTCCAGTTAATTAACAGGATTTGTGAGCAGGCAGAAACGCGATTCCTGGGARGGGCCAAACCACCTCATGCGTTTCCTGCTGCAAGAAAGAAAAGTGTAAGCATACACCAATGTCTCCAGAAAGCTTGAATGGAAAACCCTTTCGTGTCAGAAGTTTATTTTTATTGGTAAAATATTAAATAATACACAGAATTAAAAACTGCACTTACACTTCTGAGAAGAAATAATTCTTGGACAAATTATATGCTTGTTCCTGAGATTCCCTACATTTATTCCAGTAGCTGTGCACTCAAGACAGTACAAACCTTTATAATATAATCCTTTTCACAAAGTATTACAAAGTTTCTGCAGCTTTTATTTATACACACACACACACACACACACACACACATGCACACACGCGCACAGACTCCCACTCTCACATGGCTGTACAACACTCACACAGGTACAGAGCACACACATACACATGTGCAACCATATGTATGCATGTATGCTAAGAAGAAAATAAAAGTAACAACAAGTCCCATAGTTCAGTCTATAGCGGCAAAACTCTTTTAGCAGGGAGATACAGGTTTACATTAGGGTTGCTCACATGCACCACTGTCCAAGGGATTGTTTCAGAACTTCTTTTATAAGAGCACCTTCCAACGAGCATGGAAAGAGGTGGGAAAATTCCCAGTGTCTTCACTGGCTTTTGGAGTAAACTCTGATGCATTTTTTAAATTTTCCTTTGTTTTCTTGGGTTTGTTTTTTTTTTTAAATTCCTCAATTGAACTCAGAAGATCTATCACAGAACTAAAAAATTGTAACCTGGGCAAAAAAAAGGGGTCGTTTCCCAGATTAGTCACCCAGTTCTTGTCAGGAAGAGAGCAGTAAGGAGGGCAGAGTGCAGCTCCGGAGCGGGYGGTAAGGATTCGGGGACAAACGGGTCACACCCCAGCCCAAAGCTGTGCCCCCCAAAGGGGCTGTACCCGGGTCCCACTGCTCAGCGCAGCCCCAGGAGCAGCAGGAGCCGAGCCACCCATGGGAGTTCCCAGAATTTGGCCCAAGGAGCGAGACCCAGCGGGCACTGCCACAGTCACCCACCAAACCCATTGTTCTTCTTGACCTCGAACACCAGGGGCTGGGCAATGATTTTGGCAATCAATCAGAAGGGGACACACTCTCCTCACCTTTGTTATTATTAAAAAGAAATCTCTTAAATACAAATTTAAAAGACAAAAGTGGCTACTGTGCATGCGCAGTAACTGCCTTTCCGAGAAATCTCAATGGGATTTTGTTTTTTTTTTTTTTTTATTACGTACCTAAATACATATTTACAGAACAGCGGCTTCAGTCTACTGGGGGGGGAGGCATTAAAAATACACTATATATAAATATGTATGATATGTAAAACAAGTCCCATCTAAACTTATATAAGACAAGGACAACTCTAAAGAAGCTTTTCTGGTCTCTCAGGTAGATAAAGGACATGAGTCCTGTAATTCTTATGCAGGCAAATCTCTCCCATTAGAGTAAATGGCAGTTTTGCCCTAGCTAAGAGATTAGGTCTAATCCAAAACCCATCGTCAAAGTCAACAGGAGTCTCCACTGAGYGGATTTTGGAGCAGACCAAAAGATCTTTTTATTTTTTGTTATTTTTAATAAACATCAATATTAAGTGCTTTTCTTAAAAAAGAAAGCTGCAATTAAAAAAAGAAGAGGAAGGAAGAGGCAAGAATAAGTATGTTCTTAATTCTGGATATGGATGTGTTGCAATGCCAAAGATAAGCAGGAGGTAAATTATGGGCTTTAGCCTTAATTTACAGTTTCTCATCTTTTGTCAGTCATAATCAATTTACTTGAACCATATCTTTAAATGTATTTTAGGGCAGAGCATTTTATTTCACTGATTTGTATGGACTGATGAAGGAACACAGAAACCACTGTACATTAATTAAGATGGCAGGGAAAGTATTGCACTTGAACAAAAAAATAACCCAAAAATGTGGTTTTGTTGGTGGTTTTTGTTTTTAGGACTAATATAAGCAAATCATCCATGTCTGCAATGATCACGTTTAGAAAGTAGGATCCAAGAATGAAGCATAAGAAGCAAATTTGGGGTTGGAAACCCCCACCCTGGAATACAACAGTAGTAAAACTTTTTTTAAAGCATTTTCTTCCAACAGGAAAAAAATTATATTTTTTTTTACTTTACAATTTTAAATCTTTCTAAATATTTGCATTAAAGGTTTCCAGTTTCTCATAAAAAGATATACATTTTAAGAAAAAAAAATGTAACCCAAACTAAACAACCAGAAAATAAAACCAACTAAAAAGAAAGGCAGATATACAATATTATAATTACATCACTGTAGAGTCATCTTGAAGGTACCCTAGATCTTGAAAGTGTTACAAAGAGTACGTACCTTAWTTTTTTTTCTCAAATCAACTATCTTTTTTTTTTATTTTTCCTGTTTTTAATAAAAAACTACACTTGAGTACAAAAATATGTAAACAGACTGTACAGCCAATGAACAAAAAAAAAAAAATCCAAAAAACAACCCCCCAAACCCCTATACAGCCCAAAGCTACAGGAGATAAGAGCAGGCCCAGACTTAAAGCTCCAAGAAGGAAAAAGGGGAAAAAGAAAAGCACAGAAAGCCAGAGAAGACTGCTACATGGTGAGGAAGTGAACGTGTTCAAGCTCTGAGGACACTTGACAATCTGTCAAATAATTGATCACAGTTTCAGAATCTGAATGACTATAAAAATAACCAAAAAAGTCCTTCCCTTGTTACAGCGTGTTCAGGAACGAACATCCATTTCCAGTAAGCAATGTCAAATCCCAGTAAGTGCATAGTAGGGATTCAGTGACCTCCACCCCTGCAAGAAGCTTTTCTTACTCGATGTCACTTGAGGTAAAACTAAATGGCCCAATTTACTGCCAGCGGTGTGCCCGTAAGGAGCCGTGCTCCCCCCATGCCTTACGGGAGGCATCCGTCCTTTCTCCCGGCTGGTGACACAGACCGGAGGCTGCAGGTACCACGAATGGCCGAGCGCCAGGGATTAAGGCTGCTACACAAAATACGGGAACAACCGAGGCTGGCCCAGAGCTGCTGTGCTGCCCCACGGCCCTGCCCTCACAGCTAATGGGGGTGAGCAAACACATGCTCAGCTCCAATGCTCCTGTGCACTTCCAGAGCCAGCCCAAGGGATGGTGCGAGGCTGATGGTGCTCAAATGTTTTCCTGGGCTGCAGTGCAGTCGCCTAAACCAACACCTGCTGTGGGAAGAAAGCGTTGGCCCCAGCCTAGGCCAGGCTGCTCCCTTCCTCCCAACAGGGTCCACATGGTACCAGYCCCTCTCAAGACATGATCTGATTAACTTCATTTACTTCACGTACTGCTAAGCMAAGTTTTTTTGTTTGGTTGTYTGGGTTTTTTTTACAACTGTAAATAATACCAGTTTTTACTAAAACTGTGGAAGTCTCTGTTGAAATAGTCATTTCTGTCCACTAATTAATTAGGCCACAAGATGAAAAGGAGACGTTTGTACAGAAGGGGAGAGATCTTCAAAGATGAGGATGCACACTGATAACCATCTTTCCAAAGGCTGGAAGCAAACAGGAACTGAGAATCTGTACAATCAACTGGGAAGGTAGGTGAATATAAAATAGAGACTTGTTTTATTGTTTTCTTGGCTTGTTAAGCATGCAAAGCCTGAGCACACCYCTCCTCCTGACTGTCCTCTGCTCATTTCAGAGCCTCAGGAGAAGGACACAACCCACCCTTTCAGGTGGGGCTGAAGGAAGAAACCAAACTGGGAAGCAGTGATATTCTCCTTTGCTCACACCTCAGAACACATCAGTGGGATAATTGGGAATCTATTTATTATGAAGCAAATTCTAACTCTTTTCTACCTAACTGCTCCCCTCACCAGCGCCTCTGTGGCTGCTATGGCCTGGGCCCAGCAGAGCGGTGCTGAGGAGGTGCCTCTGGGCTGTTGCTGGGCTCAGGGTCTGCCCAAAGCCTGCTGGCCYAGCCCCCTTGCCCACAGCGATCCTCCCACCTCATCTGCGCTGGCACACTCAGCACTGCAGCCCTGCAGGGGGAACAACTGCACCTGAAACCAGGTCACCAACCCGCTGGGAAAGTCCCAGAACCRGCACCCTGCTCATCACCACAATGCTCCAGCTCATGAACCCCCTGAGCACCTCCTACTGATGAGCTTCTCTGTCTCTGTGCCACTCCCTGCAGTGGCAGCAGCACGACAGGAAAACTTGCAAACCACTTCCAAAGGACTTGCCACGTTTATTTTTCCAGGCTGAAGCAAGAAGCAAGTGCTTTAAAGACTGCTCCCGGTCCTAAGTGGGAATTTAAAGTCCTTTTCCAAAGGTGCTTCACTTAAAGCGCTGAGGTGAGAAAACAGGAGCTTTTCCCTGGCTCTCTGTAGGGCACGGTTCCGCTGGGGGCTCCTGTGGCAGTGTTGGCATCACGCTGGGGACACCGAGCTCCCTGGGACCAGCTACAGACCGGCTCTGGCTGGACAGCTGGAATGCACTTCGCTAGGGTAATTTTCAGCCCTTCCCACTCCYAACAGCCAGCTGACTCCAGGAAATCTCACAGCAAAGTACCAACAGGGTCCTCTCTCCCGGTCAAGCTGCCAAGCAGGGGGCAGAGCAGAAGGGATGTTTCCTTTGGGTTGGTGCATTCTGAAAGGGACTGGCAGGATATCATGAACGACATCACAATCTCCCAAAATGCATTTGAAAAGGCACATATACAATAAAGCATATATCTAACTACACAATACCATATATATATAAATATACTTTCTCAAGCTGTCCAGCTGCCCCAGACCACRGGCCATCCATTTTTGTTTTTAAATGCTACTAAGCCAAGCTAAGATGCAAATTACTAGCACAAAAGCCAATTTCATCACCCTTTTCCTAAAATCCCACACTGACTTTAGGCAACTCTGGCAGCCTCCCTCCTCCCCCCTCATTACATTATAAAGGACAGCAAGAGTTAAGGAAAGGAATTTATCAAGCGAAGGAGCTGTATTACTGCAGCTCCTGCCCTTGGCTGAAATAAGCACCTTTGCTGCAATTTTCTCCAAAGTTTCTTTCTGAAGGAAGGAGTGTCTGCTGTCTGGCCTCTTTCAAATCAGAACAAGCTAGCTCAGGACCTGGGCAACAGTAATAATTTTCCATGAAAGCCCAGTTTTGAAGGGTTGGGTTTCATTACTGACCTCCTGCCTGACAGCGAAAACTCAGGAAAGCCCTTGTAAACAGAAAGAAATTTGGAAACTCTGACAATTGAAAATTTCTTCACCTCACAATAAACATACTTTAGGTCCTCACATTGTAGAAACCAGAACCACCAAAAATCAGGCCAATTACCCCATTTCAAATCTTCCTCTCTAACACAGTCCAATACAGATTGGACTTCACACCACATCATAGATGAAAGCACTTTTTAAGGAGAATAAAATTGTTTTAATCCCATAAGTTACTGAGTAAAGAGCTACCTTTACTGAAAGATGCAATACATTTTGATGTGCACTCGTAACTGATTACAAAGAGAGGTGGCTGTAAAATTCATCAGCCATAACTGCAGATATATAGATAATGCCCTTCACTCCAACGATATGGATCATACCAAGAGCAGAATAAGCAGTCACAATTCTATTTCAATTAATAGGCTTATAATCCTCTAAACTGAATCAGAATATTGCCATTTTTGATGTAAAAGGGTTTACTGGCAGGGATGTGCACAGAAATTTTTTTTTTTCTTCTTAATGAAAATGGGGAATGCTCACAGGAAGCCAATTCTAAATTTGCAAATGCGTGTTTCTAACTGGAAACCTGATTCCAAGAATTTCAAGAGAGTCCAATAAAAATCAGCCAGGTTCGATTTCCAGCACCAAATACTCAGAACAAACGGATTTGGAGGCCAAGGATTAGCTACTGAAATTCCTAGTACACTATGAATGACTAATGAGCTCGACGAAACTCAAGAGCTTTTCTTAGAAATCCAATTCTTGCAGAGAGCAAGCAAGAAAAAACACCCAAAGAAAACTCTGCTGCCCTGTTTTGCATGCTTTTGTGAAGGGACAAATTGTATGASATAAAGCTCTCTAATATTTTTTAGTAGGAACTGAATTCTCAAGTATATGTTAATCTAAAATTTTGTTCAAAATTTGAACTAGAATTTAATCTTTCTCCTTTCTCTAACTCTTAGATGAAAATCTTCAGTGAATGTTCAGATAAGGACACTGATGATCAAAATTAGTGAGACCCCTCAAGCTTCTTCCTCTCCAAAAAATGTAATTTTGTAAGATAACTCCCCAGTGCCTYGAGCCTGTGACACCAGGACATACAGATCTCACCTCCTACCATTAGATCAAGAAGCTGGGCTTAACTGATGCCAGGTCCAAAATCAGCAGGCCTCCCCATCTGATCCTTTAACCATCTGCAGAATACCCTACAGGAGGTATCAGCGAGTCATCAGCGAACCAAAGTGCACGCTAACGAACTGCAGATATAATTGCAGCCAACTGATTTGTGGATACACAAGAGATTCTCTACCTTTCCCGTATTCTGGTGCTTTCCCAAACAAAGGCAGAAATTTTAAACACTTTTTCCCTAGTGCTAACTATTCCAAGAAACCACAGCCCATGTTCTTTCACTGACCACAGAGGGGAGAACGGAGTGTTGCCCCCAGAGACTGAAAGGATTTGCCGGCAACCTTTCTCTCTGGCTTGGGCACGTGTTTTTCTGGAGGCCCAGGYAAGCCCAGCGACCCTCAGGCCCAGAACCTTTCCCATTCCACCTTGTTCTTAAAAGACCTTTCCTGCTTCAGCAAATCACAACCCTTTTTTTCTTTCTTTTCTGAATTTCCAGGCACGTCCTGACACAAAGCATGGCCGGCCGCCTCCTAAGCCCACCTCCCTAACTGCAGAGAATCAGCCACACAGAATAAAAGCGATGCCCTCCAGCATCTCCCTGCTTTGCTCCTGCACAAACTCCTTTGACTGCACCAGGCACAAGACAATGAGAACGGTCCAGAGGACGGCACTGCTGCATTTGCCCCAGTTTCCTCTACATTAGGGTGAAGAAAGAAGGAGGGGGAGGAGCCCAACGACATTAAGAACAATGTTGGGAATAGATCTTTAAATCTGTCTCTCCAAAACCTGCATATTCCCAGCCTTAATAGGTCTCACATTACACAAGATGACATTTCTCTCCATATTGTATTATAATTAATAGGCTAGTGCAAGACTTTACCAGCTCCTACTTAATAGCATTGCAGTGCTGGGAAGCAGTCATCAGGTAATCTGKCCATGATCTACTGTATCCTTTCTAAACACAGGTTCTAGCTGCCAAGAATGTCACCATAAAAAGATTTCAATCAATACCACTCAGCTCCTATTCTCAAATGCTCCAGGTCTAGGAAGAGAAGAAGAAAAAAAAACCCAGTACCCTCAAAACGAACAGCAAACTGGCATATGTATYGAGTGCACAGATTGGAGGGAGCAGATGGGAATTCATTATGGCCTGATCTTGCTCTCTCTTTTATACTTTAGTAACTTTATCCCTTGGAAAAGGTCTCCCCAAGCRCATGGAGACCGTGTGCATGGAGGGGGTTAAACCCATGCAGATCTTTCCATTCTCAAGCTGTGCTCTTGTTGCCAAACAACAACATTTCAATTGTGATTGGTACAAACAGTTGGGTTTCAATGGCAATCTGTCCTGTAGGTTTAAGCCCAGTTTTCACTGATGCAACTTGCTGGGTGGTTGCTGGCTTTGTTATTTACTGAGAGAGAAAAAAAGGAAACAAAGCAGATCAGTGGACTTGTTTTCTTGTCCAGTCTGCAGGTCAAGGACTTGCCCTGGAGTGTTTCTCCACTTACTTTCCCTATAGRGAAATTAATGAATTAGGAATAAAAATGAAATCTGTAAGTCCAAATCAATACACAGCAGCTACATCTCTGCTTATCACTTTCTGAAGAAGTAGGGAAGGTCATTTGTGACCTGTTGGTTTGCAGGGCTWCTGTGCTCTCCAGGAGCAAAGGCTATCCAGCAAAACCTGCTAACGCTTCCACCCCTAAAGCAGAATTGATGAACACAAACGAAAGGAAATCAGTAGCTCAGCAAATTAACAAGGAAGATGTCAACAAGAGAAAAAACAGGCAAGGTGTGGATCCTGATGTAGCTGAAGTAGTTGGGGCAGTTCCATTAAATTTAATGGAGCCAAGAGGATAAATGCTGGCCAAGATCTGGCTCCTAACGCTTTCCCAGCTGCAAGTCTTAGTTTAGGCTGTTGCCAAGAGGTTAACACTGTGACAGTAGAATGAGAAAGTATTTACATAATGATATATCTATATAACCTATATTTAAAGAACACTTCGCTACTAGTACTTTTGTCATTTTTAAATCCATAATTTTAAATTGAAAGTATTTTAGAAGAGCAGCAGAACCTCTTGAGTAAACTACAGACACTCACCCACTCCTAGGCCACTTACTGTCCTAGGAGCAAGTATGAATGTTATTTCTAAATGCTCATTCGTAAAATTTAGGGTGCAACTAAAGAAGTAAGGTTTCCAAGGGTCTCTAAGAAGCCAGTGAGACAACACATAGGCCTGAAGTAACAGAATATCAACAATTCTAAAAAAAGGTGCTTCATWAGTTAAGGAAAATAAAAATACAAAGCCTCAGACTTACCACAGAAGGCCCTCAGACTTATGAAACTAAACTGCTGTAAYGTGGTACAGTGTTAAGACATACATTTCTTTTTTTTTTAATTTATTTACATTCTAGAGGGGCAGTACACACTGAACCCAGGAAAACAGCTCACCCCTGAAAGTAATTTTGAAAGGAATATTGACTTTGATTCATGCTCCAAATTCCCTAWCAGTTTTGCTTTAAAAATATTTGTTCATTCTGCAGAACAAAGTTCCCCCCCTTTCCTCCAGCCACCAAAAGCTTGCACCGTATCTACACACTAGAAAAAGGCTCTCCGCTGAAATGTTTCTACCTGTTCCTCTGAAATTGTAAATGAGTGGCATCTTGTTGGGACTTGAAAGCACCTGGTGGGGTTGAGCGATATCCCAAAAGAGGACATGGTGTACAACTGACTGAGACAGACACAGACTGCCTTCCAATTCCCACAGAAAGCAAGGTGGCTCATTCTCCAAAAAGTGATGGCCACAACAAACCCCTCTTTTAACCCATTCCCTTCCTTCTTTCCATTCTTAAGCTGGGCAGAGCGAATGAGGTTGGGTCCACAAAAAATAAGGTTAATAATAATAATTAAACAACAGCAACAACAACAGCAACAACAACAAAATAGGCGTCTCAATGTCTGAGGAAAAGTGGGATTGTAAGTGCAGTATTTCTTCATGTGCAGTTCTTCTACTTCATACGAGTCCCCTTTGGATGAGAAGGCCTAGCGGAATGTGTGCTCCCCCCGGACTATGTGCGACGAGAACTCATAGCGGTCCTGGCTCCGGTAGCCACAGATGTTGCACTCCAGTGGGTCCCGGTAGCCATGGCAGCCCATGTGGATGGTGTACATGACATGGTCCAGGAAGAGGACGCGACAGTGCTCGCACTTGAAAGCCCTAATCTGCTCCCCTTCTCCGTTGATCACCTTGTACATATCCTTTAAAGAGCCCTTAGAAGCTTTTGTGACATCCAAAGGCTTGGCCTCCTCCTTCACATAAGCCGGGTTTGGCTTTATCTTGGGGGTTAAGGCAGCGTTTCCTGGGTAGGACTGGCGGTCGTCGTGGCTGCTGTCTGAGTCAGTGGAATCCAGGCAGCTATTGCTGGGGGAGCCCTCTCTATCCTGGATTCGACTCTTTGGTCTGATGAGGGAGATGGGGCCATCCATGTTGATCTCGTGGCTGTCGGCTGTATCCCTGCTGATGGGCCTCTCCATCCTGCTGGGATGATAGACCTGAGCGTAAGCTGAGCTGATGACCGGGGCCACCTCTGCGATTGTGCTCGGTGTGTGCTGCATCAGGGGGTGAAGCGCCTCAGCTCCAAGGTAGGTGATTGCATTGGTGATGGCTTGGTCCATCATGTGAGACTGCATCAGCTCAGCCTCCTTCTCATAGCTTATGTTCATATCAAAGGGGATATCTGGATAGCCAAACCTCATGAACTTTTCACCTAAGAGATAAGAGCAAATGTATGAGCAAAATCAACACAATCACTGCAATGTTTCACTGTAAAAGGAGTGGGCAGGGACAGAAAACCCCTGACTTGGGGTGACATCATTCCAGAGTCTAAAGTTATCCTCCTTCTACTTGTTTACTGACCTCCTGTAAAATTCCTGTCCTGACATTGGTAAAACAGTAACCTTTCCAACAGCTTKCTTTTTAGTTTTTTAACATTTTATTCCAGGCTGCAGAGACTTCCAGGGCAGGACCTTCCACTGGGCTTGACTGCGCCCACACTTCAAGTTAGGAAATACATGTTAACTGGTAGATAATGGATTGAAATACCGAGGTCACTGAAGTTCTAACTTCAGAGTATACCATTAGACACACTCTCCCCAAAATTCAGGGGACCATTTCACATGTCCCCCACAATCTGAGGTGCCTCACATCTACTCTACAACAGGGCTACACAGTGAGAAACGTAAACAATAGGTACAGGGGGCTTGTTATGGAGGAACCTTTAGGGCCAATATACGTAAATCCTTTAACCAGCAGAAAAATACATTAAATGACAGCATGTGGCCATGAAGAATGAAGCCATTTACAGGAGCATTAGTGGCTGATCTTTGCAGTTTTTCCACCTCAAAAAAAAAAAAATTCTATCATTTTTGGACTGAGACAAAAAGACACACACCCCCACTTCATTCCCACATCTATTTAGGCAAGAAAACAGAGAAACCACATGTATAGCTTGGTTTCACTTGGTAAAAGGCAAAAGCAGCTTTCACTGACACAGTATAAATAAATACATAACGATGCTGAAGCTGGCTGGTTCATCACTGTGTGAATCCAAACTCACATCCTTGTAACCTTTTCACATCAACGGCATGACAGATGTGCAAAACCAGAACCACATGCTGGTACACTATGGCAGTCACAGGGCATGTAACGCATCACAGCTCTCCTTAAAGGTGAACAAATTCACCACTGCTCACACCAGGGCTCAACTCAGCAGCACTGCTTTTCCAGTGATGGCTTTGGAGTGTCAGGACAAGCAAAGCTCATGGAATAACTTCTTTTTAAACAGAAAAGGTTCTATGTATATGATACAAGATGTTCATGCTCCTATGTGTTCGCACACATAGTTAGCTAGTTGTTGACAGTTAACTTCTAAACTTGATTTTATAAAGTCTGATAAATAATTTTGGTTGGTTTTCATTTTCTTTGTTACTTCACTCCCTTGATACATAAAACCAGACTGTTTTTCAGTTGTGTAAGATAATAAATTCAAGGAGTCACTACTTACAAGTGGTTTGGCTACTCAAGAATTAAATTACTCAAGAATCTTCTTCTATCACCTTTTGCCAAAAYTGCTTGGAACACGTGTAAAAACCACCATAAGAAACAGAATCGTAATCTTAGATCTGTTCCAAACTGCATTAGTACATTTCAACACAGCKATCACTCAGCATTTTATTTTTGACTCTAATAATTCACTCCACTTAATGTGACTTATTCTAAAGTGATGCATAGAGAACAACCATGTTGTCCTAAGAGATGATGCATCACTTCTGCTGGGGAACTTCTCCCTGATTAGCAAGATAATTAAATRTAAGTCTAGAGTGAAGCATATGAATATTCCTACTCTTCTGTGTTTATGTGCTTCCGGCTGGACACCATATCATGTTTGTTTAACYCACGATGTGTACTCAGTGATGGTCCTGGTAATCTAACACGACCTGTGGATGATTCTTGCCATCAAACATCCTCTTTTAAGTGTTTTGCAGTCTGGTCTGGCAGTCTGTGATGGCTGTGCTGCCACAGACAGGAKAGACAACTCTGTAACAGGACATGGCTCCAGCCTCCCATGAAACAGTGCAGCTTCTTCCCAAGTGGGGCCAAAGTGGGGCTGGAGGACAGCTCCAGGAAGCAAGTGTGTCTGGTGCCCACTGGTGCCTGTCACCTGCTCTGGCCACCATTTTTGTGTTTGGATAAAGAAATGGATCTGGTGAGGCTCTGACCCAGCTGCCAAACATGCTGTCAGTCCTTTGCAGGCTTTATAGACCAAGAAATATTACTCATCCTTTGTGGGCTAGTTGGATAAATGATGCAAATCTTACTTTGATTCCTTTCATCATCCATGTTTAGTTACTCCAGCACAGATAGCAAAGAAAGCTGTAAATTGCCAGTGACCTGAATTATTTATTCCTTTAATTATGAACCAGCTCCAAAGATGTCAGAGCCTGAGAAATGGAGTGTGACATAAAAGAGTAAAATAAATGATAACATGGGAAGGAGAGGGCATAAAACACAGAGCTCAGAAGCAACTAACATACAGTCCAATAGACAGTACAAACATGGTTTCCAAATTAAATTCCTCTTTAGTCAATTCTATACTTACAACCAGCAAATCAGACCAATCATTCTGAATTTTCATGTAAACTATGCTCAAATTCTATTTATCCTTGCCCTACATTAGTGAAGTAGAAGAAGAAACATTCTCCCCTCTGGCCATATGACATTCAAATAAACCCCAACACAGGTATTTGATGCTAGATCAAAGCACTCAGACACAGCTGTCCTGTGATACCTGTAGCCCATCTCATCAAGTATCTAAAGCAGCTGTAGTGCTGGACACTTGGGAGAAAGCTGCAAGAAATCTTGGAGAAAGCCGTTCCAGCATTTCCCCCTGGGGAGGTTTCTCCCTGACCCCCATTAACCAGAAGCTGACTGTAATTTGGCAGCCGGCTGATCTTCATCTGTTCTGAGACGCCCGTGTATTTTTAATTCTTACTCTAACAACCATGGTCTTATCGTAAGCCACATAAATGTCTCTTTTTGCATCCTGCCAGTTCTTAACCCCGGTGACATTCTGAGAGTAAGCTCCACATTCCAACTGAAAATACATGAATCTGCTTCACGTGACCAGCCTGAGACGGCTGCTTTTAATTTAAACAGTGCCTGCCTCTCCCTCATTGAACAAGAGCAAAAAGAAGTACCCACACTCCTTGCACATCACAAGCTGTACTTTCTGCCTCCACTATTTCAACTGGTTTGGTAAGACTAGTACCTCAATAGCAAATATATAAACAAGTGTCTCACACAGAAGTTAATTAATTCTATTTGCTGTATGCTGCTTCCTTTCCTTCTGAAAATTTAGTCATAGGAGAGACTGTGGTCCATAACCACAGTCCCTTGGAGATTGCTGATCAGAAAGAGCAGTAAAGCATTGATAGATGTAGCATGCAAAGATTTCAGCTTATGCTTACATGACCTTCTCATAAACACCATTAAGTTGTTTTGGATAGGTGCCAYGCTTGCAGTATACACAGGAAAATTTCCTGCAAGCAAGAGAACCATTACACATTCTTCCTGATAAGAGTTGAACAATATTTAATTGGGGAGAAAAAGGGAAGAAAAGTGAGGTCATGGTGGAGTGAAAAAAAAAAGAAGGCAGCCAAGTGAAGACTGCTGTTATTCAATCTAAACACTGTGATGCCACTAAAGATCAGAAAAATAAGATATGGTAAATATGAAAGTGGGGACTTTTTTCCTACGTCTGGATAATGATATATTACATCTATAGAAAATAACAGATTTATCTAAAAACAAAGTAGTATAACCTGCTGAAGAGAATAAAAATGTGCCAGAGAATCCCTCAAGCAAGAATTTCCAGTCAGTAAATTTACCTCTGAACACAACAACATACGGTCAATGCTGTGTGARTAGACAAGCAGAATCGCCTTTTTGTCTAAAAACACACGACCATTGGAAATACTGATGTCTGTCAYGCTCATGATCATTCCTCATGTGGGTTGGATCACTGCTGGCCTCACCCTGCCCCAGCACAGATATCTGGGAGTGGTCAGCTGACCCAGAGCAGCCAGGTCAGTGTGTCAGTCCCCCAGGTGAGCTGCTGCACGCCGCTGGCCCCCTGCTATTCCAAGTCATGGAGRTTACTAACAGCCACCTTCAGGGGTGATTGAACAAATCCATCTGAATCTGCATTTAGCTGAGGGACAACAATTTTTCTAAATGGCTGTGCTAATTGTTTACAGTCTCCTGATACTCTCTGTAAATGTCCTTAGTGTAGACAGAATGAGACACCCTTAAGTTCTGTGTGACTGTCCTTCCAGGGACTGAGCTGGAAGCAAGCATGACTTTACCGTCTGACACTTACCCTAAACAATCCTCTGTTACAGCTTCCCTCCTAAGAAGTTTTGCACTGCCTCAGTAGCAGTAAAAAGAACTTTAAGATACAGCTCAAACCATGTAAAATTCTCCATACTGTCACCTGTTACAAGCTGAATAATTTTAATATGTCAAGACACAAGGCAAAATATGAATTCTCGACCTAGGATTCTAAATCTGGGAACCAAAAGCCACCCAATGCTGTTTCATATTCATGCATTAATAAGTTTATTGTGTGCAGGGTGCTGCACTCGGAGCAGGAACTTCTTCCAACACAAGGGATGCGATTTACTTCCTCATGCCAGTATTATCAGACCAGTTGTTGCCAAGTGTCAGGAATTTAATACAAATTAGAAGTCTTGAGATACTTGTTGTTTGTTTTTTTTTAACACATATGGAGACAGATAATTATATGACAGTCTTAGCTTGTTTTTGCTTTTTGTTGTTTTGTCTTTTTTTTTTTATGGAGCAAGGAGAGGGAAGACAAGAAGTTTAATTCTCAAAAGAGCTAGAGAAAAGTTTAAAAAACACCCAAAACAAAAGTGTCAAGAAAAGAAATTTTCTAATGCATTTTCATGATAGTGGACCTCGCTTTTGAATTCTCAGGGTTGGTAAACTGAATTCCATAATTTTCACGATTTCTTGCTGTGATTTAACCACCTCCACTGTTGTATCAGAACCAAGCTGTGAGAGTGCTACTTTTCCCCCTTTCTTCTGACTATTACAAATAGCAAGTAATCTAYATGCATGCACCAAAAAGAATAAAAGGTGTATTTCCAGCTTACCCACAAACTTCTGTGGGGTGGAGCTCTTACGCTTTCCCATGTTGCTTGTCAGCTTCTCTATAACAGCAGGTCTCTCAAAAGGCACCACAGAAATATTGTTGTCCATCACAGGCTCTTGTTCCTTACAATCTTCCAGAGCAGGTACTACATAAAACCAAAACAGGTATCAGACAGGTCTGGTCTACACTTCACAGACAATACAAATCATTTGAGCCCTGCTGACTGTGCAACACAACATAAAGCAAGGTGTGAGAACACTCTAGGTATCCAGACAGCCATCACCTGTCAGCAGAGCCACATTCACAAAACACCCCTCCTTGGGACCATCCTATCTAGCAGAAACCCAACTTAAAGCATTTATTAAAGGACTTGTTTTCTTCTAGACAAGATTGCCAGTGAGGAGGGGACACTTCTGAAAACACACTCACTTCTGAAAACACACTCTGTAGGTGACATTTTGTGTTATTCTCTCTTCAATTCAGTCACCTGTCACCAACGTAAATCTTTAGTTATCATTGTGTATTCCCTTAACTTTACATTAAGCATCCAGCATAATTACTCTTATTATTATMTTTTTGCACTAGTCTCAATGACTAAAAATCACATGTGTTTGCTGGGTTTGGCTGCATGTTCCCTAAGACAAAGGGCTCTCGAATGAAGGATCACTTTGCTAAAGCACATTTCCTCTCTCCACACTGTAATGAGACTGTAAAATCAACACACACTGTACTGGAATTACAGGATTAACATCACAGGGAAATTCCCTTCAGAATCATATGCAGAACAACTACCCATTTTTTGATTAATATTTTATCCCCTCAAGCACAGACCTAACAATCTGTGAATAGAGGTTTTCTGCATCTGTCTTACTACTTCTTTGGGATCATCAGGGAGCATTCCTGAGCTAACTACATTGGGGGAACGCTCATACATTTTATTTGAGACAAAAACAAAAAAAATCAATAACTTCTTCTGTCTTTACCCATTTCACTCTTTGTCATTTGTTGGTTTAGGGAACAAGGTGCTAAAGTGTAGAAATTGCAGAGGCTTCTGACCAGCTTAATGAGTGACTTGCACAGGTTTTATGTCATTTGCTGATGTAGCCACTCATCAAGTACCTACAAAGTACTTTGGTTTTGTTGACCACCCTCTTATAATCACCAAGAAGGGTCAGTGATACCAAACCGGATCAGGTCCAGAGAGTCCCAGTCATCTGCAATATATAACAAGTGTGTAGCTCTGCTCTGCTGCTGTAATACCAGRCCTAATTGTCCTGCATTCATCTTCAGAAGATGGTAAGAAAAACCTGAGACGGCCCAGCGATTAGTCCATGTGCTAATGGCATGGGTGGGGTATGAAGAATGGATGGCAGAAAAGCAGAAACTGAGGTGATCTGGCACAGAGTTCCTACAGTTTGTAAACTGAGAGGAACCCATTGCATTCTCTGCCTTAAATCAGGCTCCCAGTGAAGTGCAGGGTATTGCAGAGGTGGCAGAGAAGGACTGGCACCCTCATGTTCTGCCAGCCCTCCTCCGGTCTCTCACCATGGCAGCCTTTTGTGTCACAGACACCTTCTTCCAGACAGTGCCATAAATGAACACCAGCAGCCCACTTTCCTCCCATGTAACTGCACTACCTTCAGGATCCTGACATGGAATAATCACCCCTCTGWTCCTAAACGCAGCTGTTTGCTAGCACATAATATACAAAAAATGGGGTGATAAAAGCCTTGTCTCTGCCTCCTTTCTAGTGAGGAAGAGCAAATACCAGGCAATTACAAAACAGAGTATCTGCTCAGGTGAACTTCTCRATTCAGACATCCATAATAAGAAAACATGGCAATTTATTCATTTGATTCCATTTGTGCCTCTGCTGCTATGGAAAGCCGAGTACTTTGAGGCTTAGAATCTACCATATGCTATAAAATGATTTACTCTGCTGCTTTTTTATTTGTACAGGATGCTCCCCCTGAGAAACACAATGGTTTCTCATTTACAAGGCAGTCCTGCTGGCATCACTGAAAGGGAGGGAAAAAAAAGCACAAATATGAAATGAATCTAATGTTGCAACAAAATGGGATGCAGTGTTCAAGTGACCTAATTAATGCCCAGTGCRGACTGGAAGGCTAGGAATACTTTAATAGCCAAGGGTAAAGTTTTAAGGTTAATTAAATACCGTGCTTGGTCAGGAGCTATCGGCACTACTCAAGTATTTACCAAGGAGATTTGGGAAGAAAGGAAAGATTATGTCTGCTGATTTTCACTGGGAACTGGCATCTGAGTGTCCTTTTTGGTTASYCAAGCTCAGTGGATGCATGCACACRCACACACCGTGTGAATCCYGGGATGTGACTGCTGTGGGYCATGTCCACCTGGGTGCCACTTCAAGTATTTSCAGCCCTTGGTGCACAGGACACACGAGGCTGGTGGYGTGGTCCTAGGGAGGTGCAGCGGGCTTTCAATCCCCCCTAGGAACACCTGCTCAAGGCATCCTGAACCAGTTTAAAGCTCCTGATTACTTTCACAGATATCTGAMTAAGCCCCAAATGTAGTGACATTTGTATGGTCTCATAACAATTAAGTAATAATTAAATAATTCTGCTGCTGGGCATATGTGTGTAAAATTTCCTACACAGAATTTGAAACCTTTCTTCCATGAAAAATGAATAGTGCTAAAAAAGACATCTGCTCTTCTCTAAGTCAGGCAATWATCCTGTTTGGACTCATTTTAAAAGTAAAATCATTAACAATAAAAGCATTTTCTTTTCTATTTTTCATGCTGAAGGTACTTTTTCCCACCTCAGAACCCAAGTCTATAATCCAGGGCACAGCTCTTTTKCGACAGAATCACTGAATCACACCAATATTTGTGTTACAATGGCAATACCTTACCGGAGTGTGTTTTGTTATGCAGATTTCCTGGGAGAAGGGAAAGAAAGAAATAGTCTGGTTTCTGAAACCATGTAAATGGCAGGTAAAACTGGACCAAACAGATGAGATGTCATATTTTAGAAACCCAAAGAGTTTAATATTACCTTGACAATTCTAGAGACATTCATTTTCATTTCAATTTTAAAAATGCACAAAAAAAGGAGAAAGAGCCCAGCCTCTGTTTTTTTCTTTTTTAGGAAAAACAAAATAAAAAAGGGGAAAACCAAACTGATCACACACAACTACCAGTTCTCACCAATCAGCTGCTCTGTGGTAGAAGCTCATGCACACATTTATTCAGCACTAAATGCAATTCTTTTTTTGTTGTAGTACATCCTACCTCATTACCTTGGTAGTGAAAGCMGCCAAAGAACAGCTGACAGGACATAACTAGCTCAGATTCAGCAACTCATTTTATGCTGAGAATTTACAGTCTTAGCTCAGGAAGMATTTTTTATTCTACAAATCAAACTTCCAGCCCAGGAAGGGTCCACTCTTGTGTATGTTTCTGCTCAGGGATGCTCTTCATCAGCTATCAGGGTGTGCTCCTGGATTACCCATGGAAGAGTTCACCACTTCCAACACTATCAATAYTCTCAATTGCATTTAACACAACATGTTGTTTCTAAGCCCAAACTCTCAATTCACAAACTTGGATAGTCATTAGAGCCATCCTTCTTTTCCTGAAGACACTGGTCTTTCAAGCATAATRCTCAAAGTGACTATCTTTAACTTTTTATTTCTTAATTTGTAAGAAACCACATGAACTATTAAAAAAAAGTTTATGCTGTTCCAGCGAGGAAAGAACAGGGGAAAAAGGAGAAATAAAAAATTACCCAGTGTGTGTTCTGCTGATAAATACTTTTGTGTGCAGACACCAGACACTGGGCTAAGTCTCAGCTGGTATAAATTAGTATTACTCCATCAACCTCAATTTCCTTTCCGAAGCTCACAATATTGCTATTTAAAAGAAGTGTGTGTGTGCAGAGAAATGACAGGAAATATTCCCATGGACCCTGGTGTGAAGTGTCCTGTGGGACCAGCATTTTAACGATGTTTTAAGCAACTATGTAAGAGGSAAAGACACAAGGCCATTGTGTGTTTTATGTGGAGCTGGCCTTTGAGCCTCACACAGCCTAGGGCTAGGCTTCTTTCTCCTTCCCCTGAAAAGAGTACCCTTCTCCATTCCCCTGGAAGAATTTCCTTGGACTTTTTGCTTTGTGGCAGTGGAGAAGGACGCATAACTGGGTGTAAACCATAGCTAGCTTTCAACATTTCTCCTGTTCTTTCCTGCAAAGGTCATGTCCTTGGCATTCAGGGACTGTCCCTTTTGTCACCCCCAACACGCAGCTAGGAGACTGCAAACTAATTTCTCCTTCCAGAGCCAGCACTGCTTAGCTGAAAATTTTCAACAACAAAATCATGGGAGCTCTCTTGCAGCATCTGTCCTGCTGAGCAAGGAATGGGAACACAAGGAGGGGCAGATCAGCAAGAAAATGACAGCCTGCAAAAGGGTGAGACCCAGAGACTTGTACATTCCTATCCACCCCCCAAAACTAGCCCTCCTTCCTCTCCTCTCGCTTCCCCTTGTGGCTTCAATCAGGTGATCTAGCCATCTGCAAGACAGAGATAATTGAAAGCACCAAAGTAGATGTCTGTAGCATGCATGTAAACTGATGGGCTTGATAACAATGCTTGAAAAAAWTCCAAACCCTCTAGGGGCTGCTTCCAGTTTTCTGGAACAATTAGTCTCCATAGAAATCATTTCGATCAGTGTTTAGTGTCKGCCAATGCTGGTGCTGTTAAAGCAGGGTGAGCAGGATGCTGGTAGGGATAAGAAAATCCCCACCTCTCCCTATTCTGTGTGCAATGATGAAGTTATGAGCAGGAGTCACACCAAAATGCACTCCAAGGCTTCAAAATGCTCAGCAAAAACAAAACACTAAGGATTTGGAAAGAGAGTCAGGAGAACTCARTCCCAATGAGATGCAAAATAAAACCCTCCAAAGCATACTCTTAGTCATCCTCRGGAATATAATTTCCATGTAAGACACGGGAGAGAAGGAAATTAATAGAATTTTTTCAGTTAGTATAAGCCCTAATGTTAAGCTGAGTAATCATTTTTGTACTCTTCCCTGGTGCCTTTACAGTCCCAGGAAAAAGGACTTTGCTGCAGACCTCTRCGGGTTGGTGCTCACGACCCTCACGCTGAGCTTCACTGGGGGAGTGATACTGGGATGTGAGCTGAGATTTATTACTGGTCCCAGCTGAATGTGGAGCTCCCTGTTGCTGCCTGTCCTCACTGTGCCCTCACTAAACAACTAAATGAAGACAGTGGATCAAACATCACCTTAAACATTCACCAGGGGAGGCACAGACATATTTGCCCAGAGGAGAAAGAGGCACTAGTTGAATTCAAAGTGCTGGTTTAAGCTAATTTTGTTGAGAAAAGTGAAGTGGTTGTGTGAACATTTCTATTTTAAGCCTAAACAAAGTCAGTCAGGCTGTAAATGAAAGAACTGTCCACATGGGGTTTGCACTGGTTTAGCTTCAGGTGGTAGAAAAATCAATGCAAGGTCAACCACTGCAGCTTCTTTGGTCAGACAAGGTTAAGGACTTACCCTACTTGTCAGGGTGTTTGTTAGTCTGCTTTAGATTTCCTCAGAAATCTATCAACAAGAGAAAACCCAATTTTAACAAATAACTGTCTAATAAACCCAGACGTTGAGTGGAATTTGGAAAGCTCCTCCACAACAGGATCTCAAAGATCCTGGCTATCACAGCGATAGCAGCCTCCTGTTATTCCCTAAGGAACAGCTGACTGAAGGCATCACTCCCTGGTTAACAAGACAAGGATGCCCTTGTTGCACAAGGAGTGTGCATTTTGTCGGGAACTAAACCAGTSGTTCAACTCCTACCTGACTGACCAAGCCCACAACAGGTAGCTGCAAAGAGCAAAGCCCTTTTCACTGACTTTAACCAGCAAAAAGCCACCTTAGGCAGATAATCACTCACTTCAATATCTTTAAAATCATTCATGACATTTTAAATGTTGATTTTAGCCTCCAGGGTGTCTACAAAGAAAGCAATTACTTAATAGAGATACATKAATATTTTGGCAATATGAAAAATGTCTAGTGTGCCTTTGCAGGCTTAAATTGGTCAGAGGAAAGTACTATTTAAATTTTTTTTATCTTTTTGTCACCAAAATATAGCCTGTATTAGCAATGCTGAATAGATTTTATTTCAGCTTGCATTTTTAGGTTTATAGAAATAATTTTACAGAAATAATTTCCAGATGAAGCCATATGACTCCACTCAACAATGAAGAGCAAAATGGAAAAAAAGAAGTAGGAGTGTTCCCTAGTGTACCCACAGTCTAGCTTTTCTTGGTATCTGTAGGTACATGGTAATTTTTAATCAAAATGGAAAACATACCTTTTTTTTTTTTTTACTATAGTAAAAAAATCTAAACCCTTTGAGTACCAAACATCTAATGACAACTTTGAAAAGTTAAAAGAAGTTCCATTTTAGAAGACTTTGCGAGACACTAATTTTGAATAAAATTATAACCATTTTTGGACAGCTACCATTTAGCATTTAGTGCCWCAGATAAGCCTTCAACCCTGCAGTCTGAGACATTATGTTCATTATCCATACTAATAGCTCCAGAAAGTTCTGAAAACAAATTCACAGAGTTTGACATTTCTTKCTTTCAACAATCTTTTTGGCAATCTTCAGTCCTTATGTATATTAACACATGCAGTGTTAGTTAACATATTAATACTAGCAAATGTAAATGCATACAAACATTTTTTTTTGTTGTAATTACTTTCTACAACACTATCGAATTCCATTCTGCTCTAGAGATTTTTACATCCATCCCTCTCTATTTAAGAGGGATAAGACAATGTTACAGAGGGTAGAAATAATGACTTCTGAATACCTCTGCCATCCTTTTCTTTTSTAATTATCACTCACTATCAGAAAGGAAGGGGAAGGGAGTCACACATTTTATACACGGCTTGAACCCCTACAGGACATGGACCTGCTGGAGTGATTCCAGAGGAGGCCATGGAGATGCTCCAAGGGCTGGAGCCCCTCTGCTCTGAAGCCAGGCTGGGAGAGCTGAGGGTGTTCACCTGGAGAAGAGAAGGCCCTAGGGAGACCTCAGAGCCTCTYCCGGAGCCTAAAGGGACTCCATAAGAGCTGGAGAGGGACTGGGGACAAGGCCTGGAGTGACAGCACAAGGGGGAATGGCTTCCCATTGTCAGAGGGCAGGATTAGATGGGATAGTGGAAAGAAATTCCCMCATGTGAGGGTGGTGAGGCCCTGGCACAGGGTGCCCAGAGCAGCTGTGGCTGCCCCATCTCTGGGAGTGTGCAAGGTCAGATTGGATGGGGTTTGGAGCATGCGGTAGTGGAAGGTGTCCCTGCAGATGGCAGCAGGTGGAACTGGAGAGTCTTTAAGATCCCTTCCAACACAAACTATTCTGGGATTCTCTGATATGACTTTTTGGGTAAATTTGCACAGGTGACTTGGCTTTATTTTCATGCCTGCATATGTATACATACTAAAAAGTGAAATACCGATGTAAACAAAATAAGCACAAACAGGGCTGTTAAACAGGACAGAGTGAGGATTTTAGCCCATCTTTTCTCCTGCCTCTGTGAGTGTAAGCAATCTCTAAGATGCAAGCAATGAAAAGACAAAAGGAAGAAAGGAAGGAAGGAAGAAAAACAGATGGGAAAAAAACCCGCACGAGACGCTCCAAGTCCAAGGGAGTTCAGGAGGCGGTTTGCACCCACCATGGTGACTCATGACCTGCCCGGCAGCCTCCAGACTGACATTCTGCAGATAGTTGTGGCAGCGTTCCTTGTGCTCCTCCAGAGAACTGCGCTGCTTGTAGCTGCGGCCGCAGTAGTTGCACTTGTGAGGCTTCCCCACTGTGGAAAGAATGAGAGCATCRGGTCAGATCCACGGCAGCCCGTTCTGCAGTCAACAAAGCTCACACCTCYGCCACAAACAACTCTTGTGATGGAAAGACACCTAAGAAAGGTTACTCGAGCCCCAGGCCTTTCTCCCAGCCCCGTTTTCCCACCGCACACGCCTCCTCCCACCCGCTGGGTGCTTTGCCCCATCCGTTTTTCACACTAACGCTGCATCAGCAGAAGGAAAAGGAGGCGGCCTTGGTGGCAAAGCAAATAAACAGATGCCAAGAGGGGGAAAATACCAACCAGCTGAATCACACCACAGCACTGCCCGCGCGTCACCATGTCTCGTGGGAAAGAAACTTCTGAGGCCTTTGGCCCATGGCACATGCAGTTGCCTTCACAAAAATGAGCTGCCCTGGTGGCCTAATTCTTCTCCCAGCTGTGGGGAAACCCATTACATGGCTCRGAGGAGTTCTTTCATTGAGAAAATTTTGCCAAAATTACTCAGGGAGGGTTGGAAAATAAACAGAAAGTAACTTGGGTAACAGCACTGTTATGTGTCGGAACTGAACAACCACCAGTAATTCAGAGACCAGAAAAYATTAAAGAATATTTCATATAAATATACATACATAAAAATATAGAAGGCCATGTACAATGAAAATCAAGCCAGATGAATGCAAGACGTAACTCCAATTTTTAATATTTTTAATTTTGCTCAGCAGCATTAAGCATGAACAGCAAATGCTTCTTAATACACGCAAAACCTGGCACCAAATTCTCATAAATTATATCCATTTCATAGTATGTCATTAAGAAACCACAAGAATGGCCTAGCTCAAGGCCAGAAAGCTAGCCAGAAGGTATTTTGCCAAGTGGTGCTAATAAAGGCTTTTAATATAATTTAAACTTGTAGAACATGAACATTTATCCTCTAATAACTAAAGAGCTATTAAGTCAGTGCTGCAAGTCTAGTAAAACATCATCGGCTGCAGGCTTCAGAGCTGGCTGAGGGAAGGGGAAGGTCAAACTTCTTCCAGAGTTTTAAAAATCTTAGGTAAGAATTTTAGTTTCTGGCCAAAGAAATTGAGAACATCCTCTGTTGGATAATCTACATGTTTCTGTTGGGTTTGTCCCAATATTGAAAGCTTTTCACAGTCATTTACTTAATGAAATCTGAGCTGTACTAATTGCAGCCAAACTGCACCGTCACCACTGGGATGGGAAATGCAGGGAAGCTGTGGGGGCACAGGCACAGCCAAGAAGGAGCTGGACAGAGAGCTCAAACACAAAAAACCTGAGTCAGGACAATTCTCTGGTCCCTCAGCAGGACCAGCACGTGCCACATCAGCCTATAATGGAAGATGAAAAAGCCTGAGCCTGTGGAATCAGAGCTGGTCCAACAGTTTCAAATGTTTCCGTCTCAGAAGAAAGRGACTTGATGAAAACAATGTGCTTGCAGAAAGATTCGGGTTTTCCCAAAAAGCTTGTGTGTGCATTTTGGTGGCACAGCCAAGTTTTCCACCAAGGAAAAAAAACCCCTGCTTTTAATAAGTATCCAAACTGAGGATTTCTTTGTTTAGAGATAAGGCTTATCCTCAAGAAAGCGTGTCTTAGACCAGCGTTGTCATGGCCTTTATTTTAGTTTGCTCACTTGCTTAAATTGTTGCCATAACTGATGCTGGTAATGGAATTCTCAGTGGAGGCCCAGCGTGAGACTCATTATCATTCCCAGAATAATTGCCCTTGATGTGAATGATCTGGATCAAGCCTCAGCTCTTAAACATAAACCAGCCAGCTCATTCTGGAGGCACCTTTAGGAAAACACACCAGAGGCTCCCCAGGATGGAAAGACTTTTATAAACAYCATTACAATGCTTCATCGTGCATCTAGATGGCATCAATGTCTGTCAGTCTGACACCTTCATTAGAAGCTAATGTGGTGTCTAATAAAAAAAAAAATCCAGTGCAGTGGAAGGGATTATCTTAACTGAGTTGAAGCAGGGCTGAATTAGCCCACCTGGTTTGGCTACTCAAAACTATCAAGCAACTTAGATAAACTGTAAGACACAAAGAAAAGGGATGAMTGCTTGCAGCTATTTTAGGGAGCTATAATTAATTAAATTATCATTTAACACAGAGAGAAATATTCTGCTACAAGCCCGTATTATAAAAAAAATTAATAATTGATTCAACCATCAAAAAAGAGGTTTTATTAGACCTCTTCAGATGGYTGCTCCCTGCATTGCAACCATTTCAGTAACTATTCACACAGAATATGGCAGAGCTTTTCCAATGATAGCTCGGATGGCCAGCTAGCCAAATTCAATCAGGTTTGAAGGTTAATAGACACGACAGAAGTTAATGATAAAGACATGATTTCTACAGGCAATATGGGATTTGAGGAACATAATTCCTCAAGGAAAGAAATACTCCCAGTATACATGCTCCCTTCTCTGGGGAGGAGATAAGAGAATAAACATCATGTGGCAAATGTTAGTCATGTTGCCTAWTAGACAGCTGCAAAAGATGAAGTTTGTGAGTGCCAGTTGAGTAGGATCAAGTACAACTCCCTTGGGTTCATTTCCCAATTCCGCCCCCCATAGCTCTAAAGATGCAACCACATCATAGCCCCACAGGTGTAAAATGTGATTTACACTATAAAATTACACAGAGTGACTGTGACTTGTGTTAAGGAGCAATTGATCAGGTCAGACCACAATGGAATCAGTTCTGATAGCAGGAGTTTGTGTCACCAGCAATTCTCACAGCCTGTTTGGTAAGAGTTCAGTGAGCCGAGGCAGCAATTACAGTCTAGATTTTAGAAATTGTATCATTGTGACAAATGTCAAACCACTGAAATAGCTGCAAATATCCCCTTGTATTCTCAAAAAAGTTAATGACCAAAAAAAAAAAAAAATGGAAGTGAATGTTGCCAGTGGGTGTACATTTCTATGTATTTCATATTACCTGACAGAAAGCTGCAAAAGTTTTTTAAAGAATTCAATTTCAGTGATAATCTCAACAGCGTACTTTGTTCCACATAACAACCTGACATGAAACCACATGACTGCCGAAAGAAATTTCAACCTTTGTCAAATATTTTAGTGTAGGTAAACAGCAGTATTCAAGATTTGCCCCTGAAACAGGTGGCTCACACTACTGGGCATAAGCAATCCCTGCCTGTAGGGCAATGACTTGAGAATAAAACGTCCAACAGTGCTACACTTACCAAATCCCTCTCAAAAACCCCACTAAAAGACAGGTATTTCCACCACGGAGCCTGTGAAACAGCTCCAAGTTTGTTCCCACTGTGAAACAGCTCCAAGTTTGCTTGATTTTAAGCTGCTTTCTTCAAAATTCTCCCTAAAGATCAGGGAGACAGGACACCACATTTGACATTGTATGCAACCACCGCTTGCAAAGTCAGGCTGGAAATCCCTGGTTTGGGGTAATTATTCTGTTACCACCTTTTCAGGGTCAACAATCAGATAAAAAACAACATCACTTATTCTCACAAAAACAGCACGGCACAGTCAACGCAAACAAGCCCAAAATCTTGAGAAATCTTCCATCTGTTGTTAAACTGGGAAAGACCAGAGCACTGGGCAAAACCCAGTGGCCACACCTATGAAACAGCTAACTTGAAGAAAATAAAAAACCCACTTTATATTTCTTACTGAAATGTCAGAATTTCCATGCATTTAAGCTCAGATTTGGACAGATGACAACATGGCACAGAAAACCCACGGTGGAATCTCAGCCTCAAATGGAAAATATTATGACAGTCACAGTGAAAAAGACATTTAAATTTGAAGTACAATTTTTRCCCTGGAAACAGGTGAACCACTCGTCGAAATTCACAGCAGAAYGGATTTTGCTTGTGAAATTAAAATGCTCATGTGGAGGGAGGAGGGGAAAGAGGAGGAGGAGGACATAAAAGCAAGGTGTTTCTGAGTTAGGAATACTTTTGAGTCCTGTGGGTGAACTTTGATAGCTGAGAAGTCTGCGTGCAGYGACAACGAGATGGTGTAACTCTAAGGTCAATATTCAAGACAGAAAGCAGACTTGGGCCTAGGGAAACTTCTTTAAAGTCATAAAAAAAGGTCAGTGAAAGAGAAAGAGCCCGCGAGGCATTCACACAGCATTCTGCTCTCAAAAGAGATGGGAGTGCATAGCAGAATATAAAGTACGTCAAAGGGAAACAACAAGGCATCCCAGGTAGCACCTTGCCATAAGCGTATCAAGCGAGAAAGGYTTAAGGAACCGTTTCAGAACCCCRCTGAGCTAAAATCCTGCCTCCCTGGCAAAGAGCACTGACACAACACTCCCTATTTTGGGAAGCACATTGCCMTCTGCAGCAATGCAGAGCAGAATTCCTCCCTGTCCATTTGCCTGTGTCCCAAGTCCCGGCCACAGCTCAAGCACTTGCACCTCCTGCTCACACAGGGATGGGCACTGCTGCCCATGTGACGTGCACCAGCCCAGCCCAAGGAGCAGAGGCTTTGCATTGGGCTTTGCTTCAGGTTTCCATTGCTTTTGCTCTATTGGCCTGGCCAGACTGTGGAAGTGAAGCCAGTGAGGATTTTTGTACTGTATGGCCATCTGATGTGGCTGCTTTTGGTGTGAGGGAGATCCTCTGACAGCAGTGCACCAAGTGGGACTTATTTCTGTAAAATATGAACTCCTGTTCAGCCCCTAGCACCTTGGAGCTGGAGCAAACACCAATACTCTCCGATCAAAGCTTTCTGAAGCAGTGTTTAATTAAAAAAGTTCTTTTGGGCTGATACTTCATAGAACCACACAGAATCAACTTGGCTGGAAAATGATCTTTGAGATCAACCTATGACTTGACACCACCTTATCAACTAAATCACAGCACTGAGTGCCACATGCAGTCTTTTTTTAAAAGSCTCCAGGGATGGTGACTCTACCACCACCCTGGGCAGCCTACTGCAGTGCCCAATCACTCACATTGTGATTAATTTTTTCCTAATGTCGAGCCTAAACTT